AAAAAAAAAAAAAAAAAAAAAAAACAGAGGGAGGAAAAAACAAAAGTAAAAATGCAAAAAGCCAAAAATTGAGAATATCGAAAAAAGCATGCATTTTGCTACAAAATCAGTTGTTTGATTGCAGTACAGATTTACGTCGACAACTTTTGTTGAAGAAAACAATACTGGTTTTTGTGTAAAAATTATTACAGCTACCAGTATCACATCTGTTAATTCATACAGTTAAATGTCAAGCACATACACAAAACAAAGACTCATGATATTATTTATTTGGTGCTTTAAGTAATATGTAAAAAATAAAATCTCTTTGCTCTCGTAAGTCGTACAAATTCTGTCAGCAACTACCAGTTTATTTTTCAGTTACATTAAATTCATCAGTCGGGGATTGCAGTACCTCAAATGGCTTAAATGTTGTGACACTAAGCGACAAGTGCACTAAAATTACTGATACCCTCGATCTGTTATCCCTTAAATGTTATGTATAAATAAAAAAAGGAAGAAACTATCACATGAAAAAAAACTTGTAATTACTGATTTTCGATATAATCTCATAGTTTTTCTGCCTATTACCTAGACATTTTAATTGACTCAGTCACTGTGACAGAAACCTTAGTGGTGTATTATCTTGTACATTTCTTGCTGTTTAGTAAGGTAATGTTTGAAAGTTTGATTCAAAAAAAAGTGATTAGAAAGGTAATTGTTAAGAAGTAAAGAAAAGATAAAGAAACTATATCTTAAAAGCATAAAAGCTGCTCAAACAAACAGTTACTTTTAAATCACTCAATAACCCCTGCAACTCTGCAGTTGCTAAAACCAATATGTCTTTTCGAATGCAGCGTTCTAAAGCGAGTATTAAAGTTATAGTGTAAGAATGCTTATTCCTTTGTTTGAATAAAGAAAAGCGTTGAATGACGAGTGGAACTCTGTTTCAATCAGCCTTCCTGAGCATCACCATTAGACAGTGAATAAATCTATATTTTAAATACTCGAATTCCGGTTTATTGTTATGTTACAATTAATGTCTCTTATTAAACACCTCAAAAACGGTCCTATTAACTGTTAAAAGAAGCAATAAAAAAAACCGCAGTACTTGACCAAAGTGTCGATAAACTTTTTGAAATTACTGTCATAAAGTTTGGAAGTTTGCGAAAGCATGAAATTTGGTTGAGAGAAGCAGCCCAGTATCTTCTTTGACAAATAATTGAAAAGGTGAAAAACTGTTTCAAAAGGCAACTGTATAAAACAGCAGAGGAGTAAATGATGGAGAAGAAGAGTTTATCTAATGCGGTTTTTATTACAATACTAAAGAGCAAAAGTGACTGTTTGCAAAATTTTTCAAAACTGTTTTGCTGTTCTTATCGTTTTGTTAACATCTGATGAAATCGGTTTAAAAGCTTGATACTCTTCTGCCTCCTCCTTTAAGATTATTTCTCACTGATAAATTTATTGAGTGTTTTCTCAAACCCATAAGAATAAATTTCCATTAC